AATCGACTAACGCTCCCACCACTGACGATGGCACTCACACTGCCCCCGTAGCGCCGCTGTCGATAGAAGAATAGACCATAGGGAAACCTTCTCATCATTGCTATCAAGAACATCATCAGTAGTATCATCATCATCATCATCAGGATCATCATCATCATAGTCACCACATGAGGGATGCTGAGCCTGGTTCTCAGAAAGTTCGGTTCGGTTTCTCCGGGCAGACTGTGAGGACCCCGGCCTCATTCCTCTTATTGGTAATATTAGCCTTGGGCACTGGGCCCCTTTAAGAAAGAAAAAAAAAAAAAAAAAGAAAAAGAACACTTGTAAAGAGCCTTTGTTGCCAAGGCGGGTTTCCCACCACGCACCCAATGGATACAACTCTAGTTTGCTCTTCGCCGGGTCTCTCATATCGTCCAACCATTGGTGTTCCCACTGCTCCTTTGTACTGACGATTCTCACAAAGGAAACCAACCTTAACAAGAGGCAGAAAAACCTAAAACATACAAAGAAAGAAAATCACGAAGTTGCTCCCATACATCACAAAAAACAATTAATATCCCTCTCTCTCAATCCTGAGATATTTCAACAATGCGTGTTTCTAAAAAAGAAACACTAAGGGCAGCCTCCGCGCGAGGAAAAGGCTAGGAAATAAACAAGCATTAAACCCCACTTTAGTAAACATCACCTCGAGTCCTTTCTCCCTGAAATCCATAACGAAATGTAAGAACCAAACCAAGTGCCTAATACGTATGCCCAATGCTTGACGAGAATGGAAAACTAAACCGACCCTAGAGGACGAATGGAATGACCTAATTAAGTGACTTAAACAAAACATGAAATAAGTGAACATCCAACTGCCTTGCGATGTAGATAGGTCAACCGAGACATGCTGTAGTCCTTGGACCTGCCGAAGCGCGGCCACCGCAGCCGCACCCTCTCCCACTGCGTCCAGATGCGCGGCTCCGCCTTCCATGCTTACCGTACTATCTTCCGTTTGGATTTCTTTTTTTTTTTTTTTTTTTAACTTCCGTTTGGATTTCACCACCCCCAGTTCTTGTCAGTTCTTGTCTCGGGCCTGCTCCAGCTCCACTGGTGCCCCCCAGTGGCCTTCCACCCGTTACCTGACCTGGCCACAGGCTAGGGAAGGGGGTTATGGTTTTAATATGGGACGCTGGACCCGTTTTCCAGCACAGTGGTGTCTCTTTTAAATGTAAAGATGTATTCAAGGGACGCTGGACCCGGTTTCCAGCAGGTGGTGCTCCCCACCAATACATGGAGCTGTTTGTTTACTTTGCCGCTTGGGAAAATAGCGGGCCTCGGGTAGGCGTCCGACCTTTTCAGAGGCCGAAACGAAATGACGGCCGCCGATCAGATTTATCAATGGCAGTCGTAATTGATTGTGGTCAGGCTGCCATGGGCGGGGGCCATGCCACTGAACGGACGGGCGTCCCTACCCCAATCAAGGGGCAGTTCGGGAAGTCTCACGCCTATGTTGGCTACCGGACGAGGGACGTCTGTTCCCTCACTGCGTTGTACCGGCTCGAGGCGACCACTTGCTTCCCAAGCGCCGGCCGGCCAAGGTTGGACAATTCACCGCGGGCCCGCGTTGCGGACTAGCGCTGAATTAGCGCACGCGAGGCGCTACCGGATCGCCTGAACAGTCCCCCGTCCATGGCCCTCTTGTTTTTTTTTTTTTTTTTTTTTTTTTTGGGTTTTCGGGGTTTCCCTGTTGTTGTTGTTTTTTTTGTTTTTCTTTTCGTTTTTTTGTGCCCTATGTAGATGTTTCCGTTAGCCGTTTCAATTGATGATTGCTTTTATTAAAACAAAAAAAAAACGTTAAAAAATGATAATTGCATGTAACCATTGTAATGTCTAATTCCGATGAAATGAAATTAAGTACGTATCATCCCCCCCCCCCCCCCCCCCCCCCCAAAAAAAAAAAAAAAAAAAAATTCTTTCACCAATTTTTATTTTTCTTTCCCAAAAAAAAAAAAAAAAACGATCTACCCCCCCCCCCCCCCCCCCCCAAAGAAAAAATTAAGTACCTATCTGTTGGACTGAAATCAAACTCGTCTTCTTGTCACTTTGTCATGCCTGCAAACAGCGGTACAGCAACTGGCGACATGCGCCCACACAGTACTCAAGATATCGTAACCAGATATGAGTTCTCTTCAACTGGCTATGGCGACTGGGCGCCCACACAACTCACTGTTCGCACTCTGGATCACCTTGGATGTCCCACACGCAACACTCAGTATCATACACAACACACACACATACTA